CAAATGTGCTTGACACACTGGATGAATGTATGAAGTGTGCTAAGAGATGTAAGAGCCCCCAATAAAAGTATTTAACTAAAAAAAAGGAAGTAAAATAAAAATAAATAAAATATCTTACTTTATATAGTCAGGCAACCAATAGGTCTAGCTTCGCAGATTTGTAAGTACATGGCTTGCCTGGAAGAGAAATTGTTAGGCAGTGAATCCACTTTTTTTTTCACTAAACAGGAAATGGGGAGGGTTTCTGATCGTTGGTGCCTTCTTCAGTGTCTGGTTTCATCACTGAATCAGTATCTAAAGATACTATCTTTTGAGCATCCATCCAGCCTGAGCACAGGAATATGTTTCTCACCTGGTTTCACGACTAGCATCAGTGGCTTTCTCCTTATTTTGTGAACGCTCCTGAATAAAACAAAACGCCAGGGCTCATGCTTCCTCCACTAAATGACTTTTGCTTAATTTGGCTTTTGTTTTAGTCCAACAAAAATCCAGTTCTTAGACTACACTGACAAAAAGGAAATAAAAATCTCAATTTTAAGCTATTAAATTTCACTGAAGATGTAAATTAACTATATTCTTGATAACCTTTTTTCCAAACGTCCTTTTAAAAATTTTTATAGTGTAGCTAGTAAGCGTGAACCCTATAAACTCTTCTTTCCATCATTTACTTGGTTTTATGATCTCGGAAACCTCACTTAATCCCCTAAACTCCCGTTTCTTCATCCATAATCTGTGGCAAATAATAGTACCTATATTACACAGTTGTTGTGAGTACTCACTGAGGTACCACATACACAGCTCAGCAAAGCGCCTGGCCCATAGGAACTACTCAGCAACTATGAGTCATCTTACATCTGTGTTTACAATGTGCAGCCAAGTTCCACGTGTGATGAAGCACTTGCTATTCCCCAGAGCAGATATTTTCGTGACCATAATAAGTATTCTTGACTTTCTGAAGGCCAGGAAATAGCTGATACACCTTTTCCTCCCTGTGAATTGCAAGAATCAAAGCAGATGTATCCAATGTCATTTCTATAACGTGCACAAAACTTCAAATCCACTTCCGCTAGCAAATAGTTATAAACCTGTTTTTTACTTCCCACGTATCTATGTTCACCTTAGATTTTAAGAATTTGACTACAAAAAAAAAGAATTTGACTAATTTGACCCTAAAATATATATTTCATATTTTAATCAGTTTGGACTACATAAGTGAAGTAATGTATTTAGTATAAAGAAGGTGCCTAGCAATTTATGAGATCACTTCATCAAGTTTTGGGTTTGCATGCTGTCTTATTAGGCCCATATATTACTTAGGATATTAATGTATTACTTAGGATAAATAATGATACCAAAAAGCCAAATTTCCTGCCACGGACTTGATTCTGATTCATAGTGAGGCTGTCAGTCTTAGAAGTCCTCGTTTTAAACTGAAAGGTCTGCTGAGGCCCTGCCTTGGTGGTGGTTGTTGTTGAATTGTTTTTTAGGTGAAAGTTTGCTCAGGAAGTTAGGGTCCCATTTAACACTCTTTATAGAAACCATCCCATAACGTTTGCTACATTTTTCACAAGGTGTGAACATTCTCATGATTTACATTCTGTTTGTCCCGTTTCCACTGATTTCGGTCCTCCTATGTGTCCATCATTTACTCCGTGTAATTGGTTACTTAAGGGAGCACGGTATTCCCAGCTGATGTTGCTTATTTGATAAGTCAGCCTGTTAGGTGCATAAAAGGTGACCTTTGGGAGTGGGTTCAGTTCCAAGTTCAAAGGGTGCTTTAGGGTCGTAGTCTCAGGAGTTCCTCCAGTCTCTATTGGTCCAGAAAGTCTGATCTTTTTCAGAATTTGAGTTTTGTTCAACCTTGTTCTCCTGGGTCTTTTATTGTGTGTGTGGTGGGAAGGGTTAGTAGTGGGACTTGGGCATCACGAAGTTCTGGCCTAAGGCTAGTGGACTCTGGTTCATGTGGGCTATTAGTTCTGAGGACTGGTTTCTGCACTGGGCCTAGAATCTTTCGGAGGTCGCAATAAAGGAATCTAAGGCACCCTGGGGGCACAGCGCTCAGCCATGAACTATGAGATCAGTGGTTCAAAGCCACCGGCTGTTCTGTAGAAGAAAGATGCAGTTTACTTCTGTGACGATGCACAGCCTTGGAAACCCCACAGTGCAATTCTGCCCTGTCCTCCAGGGCCACTGAGCGAAGACAGTGGGCTGGGTTTCAAGCCATCGGGATAGGCTGAGGATTTTCAAACCCAACACAGTGGAACTTGTGAGCACTGAAACTCAATGAACCTACCTTGCTTTCCTGGGTCACGGAAGTTGTCCTTGTCCATGATTGGTTTTAGGGGTATCTGAGGTTTCCTTCTCCGACAGGTTTCCACCGGTTCCGGCTCTTGTAGGCTTCACTCGTATTCCTCAGACCTTTTGTTGAACAGTTCTTTCATTGGCTTCTCTCTCCCCTCACTTTCTGTTTTAAGTAGCAAACAGAAGCTATACTGTAAATCTTCCCCTTGAAACCTCGTTAGATGATTTGTACTATATTTATAAAGTACATTTATATTTTAATTTATAAATTTATTTTATAATTTATAGATTTTATAATTTATAAATTTATTTTATAATTTATACTTTTAATTTATAAAAGTACATTTATAAAGTAAAGTATATTTATAAAGCTACAGTGAACCCTCGTTTATCGCGGTTAATCGGTTCTAGACCCTACCGTGATAAATGAAATTCCGCGAAGTAGGATTCCTTATTTGTAAATCAAATATTTTCGTAGTTAGAGCATAGAGGACATGAAAAAACACCCTTTAGTCACCATTACACTCGTATTACCCAATTTATTAAACGAAAAGGAAAATACAGTAAAACATTTTGGACGTTACAATTATCATTTATTATTTATTATATTATTTATGGCATCTAGTTTACAGTATTACATATTTCACATACAGTATTATTATACATAGTTCTTACAAATACTGTAATCAATAGCCTATGAAATGACTTAAGGGATGTACTCTACAGGTGGGTCGCCGTCTTTTTCCTCTGAAGGAGCGGGTGTAGACAGTGGGTGCTGTTACGCAAAACCACGATAGAGTGAAGCTGCGGAAGTCGAAGTGCGAAGTGGCGAGGGTTCACTGTATTTATAAAGCTCAAAAACCAAAACTCACTGCTGATGAGGTGATAGACTTGTGGAAACCCTTTATAACAGAGAAGAACAGCCCCTTTGGGTTTTCAGGACCATCAGTCTTTATGGGAGTAGAAAGCCTTAGCTCGCTCCCGGGCAGCAGCTGGTGCTGGCCTTGTGGTTAGCACCCCAACACGTAACCCACTATGCCGTCAGGTCTCTGATATTCTTAACATATATTTTATATTTAAACACATATACTAGCTTATAAAATACATTTACAAGGTAGATTTACTACTTCCACGTTACCGCAGACAGCAGTGTGGCTAAAATTTCTGCTCCGTAACAAGGTTTACCTTTCCTCGGGTTTCCAATAAAAATGTCCTCACTTTTCTGTAAGACTGTTCTAGCAGCTCCTCGGAGGCTAGGAAACGTCTACAGATAGTTCTTCACAATATTGTAGACTCTTACTAACGAGTTCTTCTAGTTTCTTCCCACTGCCCAGTTCCACATTTTTCTCACATCCTTAGTTTCAATTTTAGCCGAAGCTCACTTCTAGACATTAAAATCTGAATTAGTGATTTATTGATGCATAATAAAGTATCCCCAACTGCATGTCATAAAATGAATATTAACATTTTTTGAATCCTCGCAGTTTCACTGGGTTTTAGTTTTTTATGTGGGACTAGTTTTAGTTTCCTATGGTTCCTTGAGAAAAAACAAAAACAAAACAAATATAATGGCTTAAGGCAACACATACTTGTTATCTTACAATTCTGTAGTTCAAAAGTCCAAAATGAGTCACGCTAGGCTAATATGAAACTCTCGGCTGTTAGACTGTTCCTTTTTTGGACCTTCTAGGGAAAATCTGAACAACTGGACCATAGGAAGAAAAACAAGGCACCACAATTGGAGGAAGGCTTGTTAACAGCCTGTGATATGTAGCTGGCACAACCTTGCTCAATGAAAGCCAAGAGGATTTGAAACACCTGCTGATGAAGATGAAACTCTGCAGTCTTTCGTATGGCTTGCAATTCCATGTCAAGAAAACAAAAGCCCTCACAATAGACCGCCGTGGTAAACTGAGGCAAGATCAATATTGTCAAGGATTCCTTTTCAATTGGCCCCACAGTCAATGCTCATGGAAGCAACTGTCAAGAAATCAACCTGATGGCTTGCCTTGGGCAAATCTGCTGCCTGAGACCTTTTTAAAGTGTTAAATAAGAAAGGTGTCATTTCAAAGACTGACGCCCCCGCGCCTGACCAAAGCTATCATATTTTCAGTCACCTCATATGCCTGTGTAAACTGGACAACTCATAAGGAAGCCCGTAAAAGAACTGATGCATTTGAATGATGGTGTTGGAAAAGAATATTGAAAGTACCACGCACTGTTTCCTCCCAGCCCCCCTCCAAGAAAACTGTCTCATAAGGGGGATAGTCAGAATTCTGTGTAGAAGTGAAGATGTTGAGACTCGTGGACTTGAGCCATGCTGTCAGGAGGGACCAGATCCTAGAAAACGGGATCATGCTCGGTACAGGAGAGGGTCAACGGACAAGAGGAAGATTCCCCAGCGTGATGGACTGACCCAGGGCTGCAACCAGGGACTCAAACAGCACCACTGTGAAGCTGGTACAGGGCTGAGCATTGTTTGCTTCTGTTGAACATGGGGTTGCTACAAACCAGAACTGACCTAAACACGATCACTCTATTGCCTTGCTTTTTCCAGCGTCTAGAAGCCGTGTGCATTTCTTATCTTCTATCCCTTTTCTCCATCTTCTCGTATTGCATCACTCTGACTGATTTTTTCCCCCAAAGACTTTATTTTATTGGTCAGTGTGCTGTGGAAGGAGACTGGACATCAATCCTACTGCTTCTAAGCCCAGAAGAAGCGCTGTCCACAGGACAGGCACCGTGCCAGTGGGCCCACGGGGATGGGACTGCTTTGTCCGCCTCTGACTCGTAGACCCAGTCACAGCCGCAGGACTTGCAGTCCACCAATTCCTCCGGCTTCAACCAGAGGCTGGTTTCTTTCTCGGCGCTCTTGACCGAGTCACTGCCGTGAATGGTGTTCCTGCGCAAGTGAACACGGACGTCCCCTCGGAGGGTGCCTGGCTTAGAATCCGCTGGGTTGGTCTCTCCCAGCATCCCCCGGCCCGTCTTCACCACATTCAGCCCCTCCCAGACCGTGGCCACAATGGGTCCCGAGTTCAGGTCCTTCACCAGCCCTGGGAGGAAAGGGCGGTCTTTCAGGTCAACGTAGTGCTGCTTCAGGTGTTCCTCGGAGGCCTGAACGAGCTTCATGGCCACCAGACGGAAGCCCTTCTGCTCAAAGCGCTTGATGATGTTCCCCCCTAGGGATCGGGACCCACAGGTTAAGAACCACTGGTCTAAAACTGGACATCCCTTGCAGAGGGGTAGTGGGGAGGAGATGAGTCACTTAGGGTTCAGTATAGCAATAATGAAACCCACAACCTTCCTCTAGTTCTTAAACACTTTCTCCCCGCAACTACCATGACCCCAATTCTACCTTTCAAACTTGGTTAGACCAGAGGATGCACAGCAATACAGATGGGAACTGGAAACACGGGGAATCTAGGACAGATGAACCCCTCAGGACCAGCGGTGACAGTGTTGATACTGGGAGGGAAGTGGGGGTAGAAACGGGAATCAATCACAAGGATCTACATATAACCTCCTCTCTTGGGGATGGGCAACAGAAGGGTGCGTGAAGGGAGACACCGGGCAGTGTAAGATAAGATATAATAATAATTTCTAAATTATTAAGGGTTCATGAGGGAGGGGGGGGGGGGAGAGATGGGGAGGGGGGGAAAGGAAAATGAGCTAATTCCAGGAACCCAAGAGGAAAGCAAATTTTGAGAATGATGAGGGCAACAAATGTACAAGTGTGCTTTACACAACTGATGTATGTATTGTGATGAATTGTATGAGCCCCAATAAAATGAGTAAAAAAATAGAACCACTGGTCTAGAAGCTCCATTGGAATCTATTCACCGTGGGTGGCCTGCTAATATTTGAAATACTGGTGACATACCATCCAGCTTCATGGTAACACACAGACAGACGTGGTAAGAGCAAAACATTGGCAGATATTTTGCCATAATATGGAGTAACCTGTCTATTTCTGAGGGATTATCCATCGCGTCTCGGCCTTTAGGCTAAGATCAAGTGTGTTGCATCTGAGGGATTAGCCACAGAAAACCTGATGGATAACAGTGAACATGGTCAGATATAATGCCAGAAGATGAGCTCCTCAGCTGGAAAGCACTCAAAATACAGCTAGGAGAGAGCTACCTTGTCAAAGTCAAGTTAAACATAATGACATGGATGGAGTAAAGTTTTCAGGACCTTCATTTGCTGGTGGCGCCTGACTCAAAAGGAGTCTGGAACATGAAATGTATGAAATACGGATCAAGGAAAATTGGAAGTCACAACAAATGAAATAGAATACATAAAGATCAATATCCTAGCCATTAATAAGCTGAAATGGACTGGCCATTTTGAATCTTGTCGGGAGCCGGCCCTAGCAGACATTCTCAAGGTCCTTCAAACAGTGACCGGCCCTAGTGGAAAATAACTGGCAGGTAGTTATGCCTTTAAAGATATCTTAGTCACCAAAGCATCCTTGTTCTATGAGACTGTCTGTTTCTACGGAAAGATATTGAGACAGCTTGCAGTTTGTGTAACCCCTACCCCACCCCCCACCCTGCCATCTCCCCCGGAAATGTTCTTTGACTATTGTGCAGCTGTAACTGTTGTGCAGCTACATGACCGTGGTTGGTTATCCTCCTCACCCTTCACCCATTGGTTGAAATACCAAGCACTCATTGGACTACAGACATACCATATTGGGAATATGATGGATAGCTGATTGGTTAACATTCTTATGCTTCATTATAATATACATGTTGGATTGGATGTTGTGCAGTACACCTTATTAGAATATGCACCTCCCAGTTCCTCTTTATATACCCCGAACTTTGCCCAAATAAATCGAGCTTGATCAGCATTTTTCTTGCTCCACGTCTCCGTGTCTGTCTTTCCATCCAGGTTCGTCTTTCCCTCCAGGGCCCTGCTCATGCATCCCGCTGGCCGGGACGCTACAGAATCTGACAATCATATGATTACTATGCTGGGAATGACATTCAAGAGGAGTCATGTCGTATTCATTGTCCAAAAGCATATTTCAAGATCTCTTGAAGTAAAGTGCTTTCTGTGATCAGATAATACCTATAAAACTACAAAGAAGACCGGTTAATACAACTGTTATTCAAATGTACACATTAAAGCCAATGATGAAGAATTTTACAACTTCTTCAGCCTGAAATTGATCAAACATAGAATGTAAAAGCTGGAACTAAACAGAAAATGTTAGTAGCTGGAAAATATGGCCTTGATGATAGAAATTAAGTAGATATTACACGGTGGAATTTTGTGACATCAAGAATTCTTCATTGCAAATACCCTTTTCAACATGAAACATAGTGAGTGTACACATGGACCTCACCAGAGGGAATGCACAGGAATTGAATTGACTACATCTATGGGAAGAGACAATGGATAAACTTAATACTATATCAACAATTGCTCAGGTTGAATTTGAAAAAAAACCAAAAAAAAAAAACCAAGCTCACAAGAACCAAAATACAACGTTGAGTATATCCAATCTGAATTTTGAAAACCTCAAAGAACAAATTTGACACATTGAACACTAATGATAGAAGACATGACGAGACTGTGGGAGCACATCAAGAATTACACATAAAGTAAGCAAAAGGTCATTAAAAAGATTTTAAAAAGAAAGAAATGATCATAGTTGACGTTGAAGGAAACTGGAACCTATTCCTGAACATGAAGTAGCTAAAGTGAATGGAAGAAATAAGTAAAATATCTGAATAGACAATTCCAAAGGGCTTGTGGCAGTTATATAATGTCTGTCAACTTGAGCAGAGGGGTGGAGTCTAGCCTGTCAATCAGGTCATAGCCAATGATGCCTCTGCGCGGGCACTGCCTCCTGAGGATTGGGGGAACTCCTGTCTTCTTCCTCAGTGGTGGGACATACACCCTCTCTGCTTGACATTCCTACTGACACGCCACAGGGAGCCACGGTGATGACAGCCAGAGCCCTGAAGCCACGTGGAGACCCACGCAAGAGCTGAGATGCTTCCACCGCCACTGGATCCACAAGACTTTTCACCCACTGGCCTGTGATCCTCCTGTATATGGCATCATTGCATGTGTTGCCTGAGTCTGAAGAGGAATTTGTAGACTAGTAAGGGACATATGGGCTAATATCAGACTTAAGGACTTGATCTGGACTGGGCTGGGATGTCTTATTGATGCATAATTACTTCTTGATATAAAGCTCTCTCTTACATATATGTGAGTATCTCTGGATTTGTTTCTCTAGTCTACCCAGACTAACACAGGGCAGCTCAAATTGCTGAAGTATTGTAATGAAATGTAAACCTCCTGATGCATTGGAAGCACTCAGTCCACTATTCCAAGAAATTTGGAAAACAGATACTTGGCCCACTGACTAGATGAGACCCATGTTTTTGCCCTTTCCTAAGAAAGGTGACCCAACAGAATGCTGAAATTATCAAACAATATTGTTGCTATCACATGCAAAAACATTTGCTGAAGATAAGTCAACAGTTTCAGCAATACTTTGACAGGGAGCTGCCAGAACTTTAAGCTAGATTCAGAAGAGGATGTGGAATGCCAGAAAGGTGGTTACTTGGGCTTTATTGACTCTGCAAAGGCATTCAACCGTGCGGATCATAACCAACTATGGATAGCATTGGGAACTGGAATTCCAGAACATTTCATTGTGCTCATGCAGTGAGTTTTCGTTTCGCTCAGCATAAGTGGTGCAAAAGAGCAAAGTAGGGGCAGCAACATCTTTTAGCATCCACCCTCAGAAGTCACATCCCACCATTTCCACCATCTTCTATAGGCCGCAAACACTAACTCTGGTACAATGTGGGAGGAGACTGTACAAGGGTATAAATACCTGAAGGTAAAGCTAATTATGGCCATCTTGGAGAGGGACTATCACACTACCACATTACTCATATGCAATCTGTCCTCTCCACTCCGATGTCCTTTTTCTCTACCCTCTTCTGACGCACCCCATCCTCCAGTGGGCTCATGGGCGTACAGGTCAGTTTCTCCTTCCCTCATTGAGACTAGAGGCTTATGCTTTATTTAGTTCTGAAAACAGTACAGAGACAGAGGGGTCTCGGGGAGGAGATGAGCCAGTCGGGGGTGCGATGTAACAATGATGAGAAATACAACCTTCCTCTAGTTCCTAAAGGTTTCCCCTCCCGCCCCCACCCACTTTCATGATCCCAATAGTACCTTAAAAATCTGGCTAGACCAGAGGAGGTACACTGGTACAGATAGGAACCGAAAATACAGGGAATCCAGGACGGATGAGCCCTATAGGACCAGTGGTATGAGTGGCAAAACAGGGAGGGTAAAGGGAGAATGGGTAGGAAAGAGGGAACCGATTACATGGAACTGTGTGTGACCTCCTCCCTGGGGGACAGACAACCGAAAAGTGGATGAAGGGAGACGTCGGACAGGGCAAGATATGACAAAATACCCATTTATAAACTATCAAGGGCTCATGAGGGAGGGGGGAGCGGGGAGGGAGGGGAAAAACGAGGACCTAATGTCGGGGGTTTAAATGGAGAGAAAATGTTTTGAGAAACGATGTACAAATGCGCTTTACACAATTGATGTGTGTATGGATTGGGATAACAGTTGTATGAGCCCCCAATAAAATGATTTTTTTTTAAGGAAAAAAAAAGAAAACAGTACAGAGAGGTTGAATCGAGGGTCCGTAAGGAAAGAAGTCCTGAGACCAGACCTCAGAAGTAGCAAACGCCACTCTCTAAAGAGAGTCTGGCTGAAAAGAGAGAATCTTGACCCAGCACATCATTAGAGAAAGAAGATATTTTCACATGAACACGTAAAGCAACTAGAGGACTGGGCACCATGTGTAAAACGTCTTTCCAGCTCTCCTGCTTTGTTTACAATGGAAACGTAAACACCAGGCTGAATACCTGCAGCCTTCTTATCTCTGTGCACCTTCACGCTAAACAATCGTGAAACGTTGTTGACTCCTCACGCTAAACAATCATTCTTGAACTTTCACGATGGTAACCATTAATAGGTAGGGTTGCCTTGCCCAGGCCCTCTGTTTTTCCTCTGTATCTTTCGGTACACCAGATGGATGACAATTATTCCAAATACAGAATTTGTTTGGCTCCCAAAGTCTTTTCCCCCCGCCAACAGTCTTATTGGCACATAACTTATACATCAG